TCTTTTTCTTGGTGATGTTGTTCTTCTGGAGTTTCTCAGGCTGGGGAGCTGCTCTGCTGACGGGTGGTCTGGAACAGAGAGCGGCCAGGAGAAACAGTGTTGACCAAAGGCAGCAAGCTTGCTTGTTGGGCGTGGCCAACGAAGGCCAGGGCCAGGCTCCTTTCACCCCCCACCCCTTCAGAGGACCCTCCACCTAGGCTTATTCCGTCCTCCCCCCTTGCCCACCTCCACCCACCCCCTGAAAAGCTGCTGACATTAAGGGTCCTGCATGATGGGACCTCGGTTCGCAGGCACTGAGGTGGTCATCGGGGGTCAGTCCCTCCCTCCCAGGGGCCGGGAAGTCCACGTGAGCCAATGGCTGACTTTAACACCAAAAGAGGAGCCTGAGCATGAGAAGGCAGAGGCCGTGCTTCCGCCATTTTTCAGACAGGACCCATCAAAACTGTTCAGAGTTAGGTAGTGAAAATCACAGCATGGGGAGCAGCGGGACTTACAAGCCAGGCCTGGGAGCCATGGCCTCAGGTGATTCCCACACAAGAGGGCCAGCAGGAAGCAAGGGGTCAAAAACAGAGAACCACTCTGCTCCATCCCGCAGGCTCTGGTCTAGTTCCACCGCTACCATCACAGCAGAGGTTGCTTTTCCCTTCTCAGTTTTGGAGATCTGGGCCTTTCAACTTAGGAGTTTTTTATCATGGGTGAGCCCCCATGGATTCTCGGCCAATTTTGGGTAACCTGGGGTTCCTTTAAATCGACCTATTGGAGTTTAGGGAACCATGGATGGGTAGGGGAGACCTGCACCAGCACCGCCACACGTCCCGAATCCGTTAGTTATTGCTCTTGGGTTAGGTGAAGAGAAAGGATTACCTTGATCCCCTTGGAAGCAGCAAACAAAGCCAAGTGAGAAACTTAGTACAGTTTAGAGTCGCATTAGCAAGCACCTCATTCATGCACAAGCACTTTCCAAGTGGACAGACATTCCTGTGTGGCACAAACCATGCTTCCCGGGCATGCCAGCAAAGAACTAAAACAAATGAAAGAGTGCACCCGTCTACAAATTCAGAAAGCTCATACCCTGGCGTCTCTGGGCAAACTCTGCACTAAAGCGCCTACAGAACGGGGAGAAAAAAGGAAGCCTTGTCAATGCTTCCCACGCGCTCTCCGGGGCCTTGCGAATGCGCCTGGGGACTCTGCTGGTTTGCGAGTGTGCTTGGGACAAGCGTTTGTCAGAAAAACAACCCCGTCCTCCTGGATGGCACTGGGCGTTATGCACAATGGATGCTTTGTTTTCAAATCAAGTTCAACTCATAATTTAGCCTAATAATTCCCCGTGTTTCTTGGTAGGGCAGCTTGCCTGCTGGAACGGCTTGCATTTCTGTGCCGGGGGGGAAAACAAACAAGCTACCTTTATTTTCTCAGAAACTCTTCAATCAAAACATGTTATGTAACCATACATGATCACCGGATCCCATGGTATTATCATCAGCACCGAAGAACGGGTAGCGAGCACATCTCTGCAAAAAGACACCCCCGGCTGACGTCATCACCGCCAAATGGGGCGAAACCAGGAGGCGGGGGCTTGCCAGTTCTCGCAATTAGACACTTCCTGCACACTAATTATCGCTTCCCAGGACATCTGCTCTTTCTTCTGTTTTAGTGGGACTTTCAAATGAAATCCGTGGGTTTCTTCTTTCCCCTAAGAAGGTTTCATTGATGACAAAAGCAAGCCAGGGTCTGAGATGGGCGCACGGGGATGCTGGGACTGCAGCATGGTTCATAGGGCAGAATCTGAGATTCAACGCAGGGCTGGTCTTCAGGGTACACAGGGTTGTATAATATAGCACATATTATACAGTGTGTATAGAGTATGCATACAGGCACAGACACTGTGTATTAATATATACATGAGACTGTATATATATATATATATGTACACACGCAGTGGCAACCCCGAGGATGCTTTTTTTTCACCTTGATTTTCAGTTAAAAACGGAAAAGTAAAGCAATCTCAGAATGTTCCTTCATATTCACAAGCACATGTTTACAGCTGCATCGCCTCAGCACCGAAGGTGAGGGGCAAAAGGGAGACACCTGCGTAGTGGCAAACCCAGCGGACTGAGTCTAGACCCCTGGCGGAGGTGGGCTCTGCATGAACGCTTAGCGCTGGATGCTCAGCGACCGGCTTTGGCAGAGTGCTGTGAGTACTTACTTGACAATTCCCTGCCTCCAAAGGAAAGCAAGTTAAAACATAATACAAGCATTAAAGGCTTCTCTCCGGGCATCTCTACACAGTGTTTGTCAAATCAGACATGGGAGGGACTGCCAAGCATTTCCAACACTGCCGAACGCTGAGGGTTAGCATTTTTCAGTGGATCTAAATCCTCCCAGCCTCAGGGTCCCCTGGAAACGTGACCCTGGAAAGCTGTGCTGAGTTGGGAAAGAGCAGAGCGCACGCGAGCATTCCCTCACCGTTCAGGCCAATGAAGTCTTTGTAGCTGGCTGTTCCCACGGCTCACAGGATGGGAGGGAGAGCGAGGAAGGCGAGTGCCACTGGGAATCAGCAGGGACACTCAGAAAGGTTAAGAGTTGGACTGTGAGGGGTGGGGGTTGGAGGTGGAAGGAACCCAGACACAAAGGGGCCTCCTGGGGCAAGTGGGCCTTGAAGACTTACAGGGAGACCAAGGAGCAGAAGAGCTTCCATTGTGCAAGAAATTTAAGGAGGGAGCCTGGCAAGAGAGCAAACGAATTGGATAATCCAGAGAGAGGACGGTGGACTAGCTTGGGCTTCGAGAACAGGAGAGAAGCTTTGCCAAGGAAGAGAGGGTGACGACAGGAACCCCAAGGAGAGGCCTGTGAACTTGGGCATGTGCTGGATGCTAAGTAAGGAGGCGGCCCTATTCGTGCCCAGTGCCGGTTGTGTGGGCTGCTGAAGACCCACCCATGCCTGGGGTAGAGTCACCACTCATGCCCTCATGTCCCCTGTGGAAACGGCACATTCTGTGGGCAGGGACGGTCAGTCCCTGCTGTTGCCTCATTGGCCAGCCGCTGGACTGCAGAAGAGGAAGCTTAGACTCACTTGAAGATGTGGAATGTTCCCTGACATAGGCTCTCACCCTACAAAAGGCCCCGAAGGGAGGCCAGGGCCTGGGTGCCTGCTCCTTTTTGCCTTCTCCCTGGGCTGCTGGGCTAGCAGAGCAGATGCTGGCCTGAGTTGTGCAGGAGAGGGTTCAGAGGCTAGGGCCCTAGGGAGGCTTCTGAAATGACCAAGGAAGAGAGGAAAAGCAGTCACAGACTGACAGCCGACGGGGGAGTCAGGCTTGGAAATCCGGTGAGAAACAAAGTGGTTCCGAGCAGCTTCTATAAAGAAGCGGTGGGTATGAAGATATTCGACTCCACTGAGCCAAGAAATGCAAGTTTGAAATTGTTTTTAGTGTTTTAGTCAGACAATGTTCAAAGTGTCATTGGAGGAGACGCCATTATATTCCAAAATGTGCTATAAAAATGCTCCAAGAGTTTTCAAACTGTCTTGGGAAACCAAACGACTCTTCCTCTTGGTTTTAGATGGAAATCAGTGGATGATCTGGAGACTGTTTAGATTTGCCCACAAACAAGAGCCATCACCCCATGGATGGGCTTCAGGGGCTCAGTGAAAACCCTGGCACTCATGCCAAATCGTGTTTGCACATGCACATCTTTCTGGGGAGAAGGGAGCATGCTTTGATCAGATGTCAAAGATGTCTGTGGGGAGAGAGAGAGAGAAGAGAGAAGACCAATGTTCTAGGATATATCCAGGTTTAGGAAAAGTGTCCAAAGCCATGGGGGGCTCTCTACCATCAAAACCAAAGACAGTAGATTATGTTAAATGTATTCTTATGTCTTCCAGGACCATCTGTAGAGCTGCTCAGTGGTGAAGTGGAGAAAAAGGGAGTCAGGCAGGAGAACTATGGGTGACCTGACAGCCTCCCATCTTACAAATGCTCTTGACTAAAGCCTACAATGCAACCCTTAAAAAAATGGGAATATAGTCTCAGACATGGCCATTTTAGGCAAATATTAATGTATTTGGGTGAAAAATTGAGGGCATAAAGGATGGAGTGAAGGGAACCATGAGTAAGGTGGGCAGACTATTGAAGAGACTACTATAATAGTCCAAGGGAGGGATGATAAAGATCTTGACTAATGCAGTGGTTGTGGAGAAGGAAACAAGTGACTATTCAAAGAAATGTTGGTGAAGCAGACTTCAAGGACTCTAACTGATTAGCTCTAATGGATAAAGGAGGAAGAGCAATTCAACTGGAATACCAGTTTTTTGCTTGGGCGTCTGGGTAGATGGTGGCACCACTGACTGCAACAGGAGAAGATTTATAAGGAAAGACAATGAGTTCAATTTTGGTGTGACAAATGTTGGATATCTGCAGGTTGGCTATACTAGTTGGAAGTTCAACTGAGAGGTGGGACTCAAAGAGATTTAGGACCTTGGGAATCATCCCCCAATGGGAGGAATATATGAGTTTAATCAGGGTACAAAGAGAGGGTGGCCAAGGGTGAAACCCTGAGAACCAACAGCATGTGAGGGGCTGGGAGAGGAAGCAGAGACAGGACACTGAGAAGGAATGGTTGGAGAGGCAGGAAGAGGTGAGTGGATTGGACTTGGGAATTAGGAAGTCACCATGTCAGCAGGATGATAGGAACAGAAGACAGATGGAATGGGCTAGAGAGTGAAGGAGAGGTTTGATGAAACCTGGATGAGAAGGAAAAAAGGGAGGGAAGGTGAAGGTGGGGATATACATGTCAGTGTATAAAACAGTGGTTCTCAACCTGTGGGTCGCGACCCCTTTGAGGGTCGAACGACCCTTTCACAGGGGTCACCTAAGACCATCGGAAAACACATATATAATTACGTATTGTTTTTGTGATTAATCACTATGCTTTAATTATGTTCAATTTGTAACTGAAAATACATCCTGCATATCAGATATTTACATTACGATTCATAACAGTAGCAAAATTACAGTTATGAAGTAGCAACGAAAATAATTTTATGGTTGGGGGTCACCACAACATGAGGAACTGTATTAAAGGGTCGCGGCATTAGGAAGGTTGAGAACCACTTGTATAAAATAAGTCAAAGGATTTGTTTTTCCCTTGAAGAGAGCTGGCTGGGGATGGGACAAACTGGAATGTGTTTCTTGGCTTCGGACATGGATCTAGCTAAGGGGAGTGACAGAGGAGAGAGGATGAGGGAGCTCGGACAATGGGGGGCTGAACAGGAGGAGAGATTCACTTCCTCTGAGAAGAGAAGAAAGGAGGTGAGTAGTGTACGTGGGGTGGAGGATGGGAGGCAAGATAGAGGAGACAGAAATGAGTATAAAAGTACAGTTCACGCCCATTGGCATCTGCTTTCTCGGTGAAGGAGGTTAGAAAAGCCATCTGCCAGGAGTGGAGGGGGCAGGATGTAGGCAGAAGGTTGAGGAGGGGGCAAAGATCTGTCTGACTGCTGACAGGGTGGCAAAGGGAGCCAACCAAAGACAAGAACAAAGATGAATGAGCAGACTCTGGTGAGGCAATCTGCAGGAATGTCGCTTTCTAGTCAGAAGAGTGAAGAGATGGGCTGTAGGAGAAATGTAGGGGTGAAGAGCTAAGAGGACTGGAAGAGTGACATTTAGGTAGGCAAAAAAAGTAAGGCCAGGAGGGAACTGATGAACCTAGAAAAAAATGGTGGTGTCTAGGCACTGGATGTCATAATAGGGATGAAGATAGGGTGTACTGCAAATGACAAATATAAAGGAGATTAAGATTAAGTCACTGAAGAAGAGAGGCACTATGGGTAAAAATGTAACCCATGGCATGGCAGGAGCTGAGGTTGACCAGCTGACTATTACCTGAACTCCTCAGAGACACAAAGTTGATAAATGACAGGAAGGAAGGATGGAAGAAGGCAGAGCACAACATGAACTTCAAAGGAGTGGGTGGGGCTGGTTTAAAAGCATGCCAATATATTTAAACACACCTATAAAAAGCACCCTCATCCACCGAACCTTATGCTCAATAACATCATTTCAAGGGGCACAAATCGTGCACCCTAGCAATTGCTTCTGGTACCTCATCACGACCACAAAACAGTAGAAAGAGGCAAAGTAAATGACCCCGGTAGTATCCATTCCCTCCAACTGGATAGCTCAGAGATGTCTGGAGACTGGATTAAAATAATTGGACCCAACTCTGACACTGTCTTCTAAGAGACGTTCCCTTTCCATAGAAAAGCGTTTACCTACGTGTGATAAAGTGAGTGGGTTTGGGTCAACTGATTACACTGTAGGAATATGATTTTCTAGGTGCATAAATATTTTTAAAAAACATTTTATAGCAATTTACCTCTGGATTTTTATGGCCTGCCACATTTTTTTGCAATAAAAAGCAAGGAAACTCTTCTCTAATGAATGGCAGGTTTAATTATTCATTATATAGACATCATTACTTTGCTTCAAACAATAGAAAATCAAGAGGTTTGAATAAAGAAGTCATTTATGATGGTAACATTCCATTCCCTTTAAAAATCAACTAACTATTCAACTTCTGGTGGAGTTACACAGCTAGAGAGTGGGCCTTAAACATGATTCATTTCAGTGTTTCGGGGTGTAATAGTGACTCAGAGCAGCTGAGTGTAGACCTCTCACCAAACCCAGGGGTGAGGGGAAGGAGAATTCAGCGGGAAGAGCAGTGCTCTGGAGGAGCAGGGACACCCCTCACCCTGTTGGCCCTATGAGGTGAGGTTTGAGCTTCACGTACACTCAACATATATGCAACGGCAGGTCTCTGCACTAACTCCTGCTACCTACGGTCACTCTACTGTCACAAAGGGGGTTGAAATGCAGCGCTAGAGCTTCCTCCCCATTTACTGGACCAAGCGTCAAGATAGGGTGTAGCAATTTTGACAGATCTCAGTCTGGTAGGTTCAGTAGCACCTGCTAGCAAGGTTGTCAGTTCTTAGCAACTCTAACAATACGAGCTCACAACGCAGCTATTGATCAGGGGGACAAAGGGCCTCTGTCAGGCCTGCCGAGCTGAGGACTGTGCCAGGAGAGCTGGGCTGTTTATTAGTTGACATCACCCTGGAGGGGAGCATGGTCTGCTTCCTCGTGCTCACTGCACCTCAGGCAAATTGAAATGTGAATTTTCTGATTAAATAAAGCGTTTTGTGTTTGTTTGTTTTTTTTTTAAATTGAGGACAGGTTCTCCCAGTGGATTTCTGTCCTTAAACATAGCATAAATGTTTAGAAAAAAAAGTGGGATTACCAATAGAAAGATGGTGATTTGTTTCAATTCAGGGACAGGCATCTAAACGTTTCCAATATTTTTAAACTTTGCCACCAATGAGAATATTCTTTGTTTCACTGTGAATCTGCCGACAAAGAAGCTTTGTCTGTGAAAATAGGTGTGATGGCTACAATAACACAGAATTTCCTTTTCAGTTCTTTTGACCTTGGATTACTGAAATTTAAACCAAATAAACATTTTAATATCTAACAGACAGATGGTGTGAAGATTAAAAAAATCATTTAACCAAGAGCCGTCCCAGGGCCAGTTGGGACATCACTGGATTCTACACAGGGTCACACAATTCCCCACAAAGAGAAGACCACCAAAGAGGCTAACAAAATGAAGGTAAAAGTTGTTGACAAAGAATGGATTTGTAGGCCATTTTGAGGACAGATTAATTTACTTCAATATTAAGAGAAGCAGGCTAAGTAAATTCACCCACCCATCTACTCATCTGTTTACTAACCTGCATTAGGCAGGTGGTGGTAACCATGATAGACAGTGCGGACCCTCAAGGAACCTAGTCTCATGGGAAGTTTACAACCCAGTGGAGCTTTAAATACCGTGATGCTATGGACCCATACATTAAGGAACCGATATTAAACCTTTCCCATATTTTTAATGGGAACATTGTAAGGACTAAACCTTAAGGATCAAAGAAGGATATTAATTTGGGGGCTGAAAAAACAAACAAACAAAATCCGGGTAACATTTCTTTATAAACCTATGGTGTACAGCTGTCTTTACAGGACTTCCTTTTTGCTTAAGCTCATAAACTTGCATAAATCAATTTGGAATGGATATGAGATAGTAGGAGAAGATAATTCTTAGGCCCTTCCTGAGTCAGCTATAAACACAGTTTCAGACAAAGTTTGGAAAACCCTAGTGCTGGAGTAGAATTTTGGGGTCATTTCATGGGAGAACCTGTGAATTCACCCATGTGGGGACTGTCATTGTCTATTTCCTTGGGACCCTGGGGACTTGGGAAATTGACACTGCCTGAGGCAATGCTGTCGGCTCCTGCCTTATGTAACTGTATCTGTATCTTTCCATACATTCTACAATTAAAGAGACAACATAACGTCTAACTTTTGTACTGGCATCTTTCCATTATTCACATCACTGTCCTATTGTGATGAAGCAGATTGGTGTCAGAAGTGAGATTAATGCCAAGGACTCCCTCACGCCCTTGCCAGATGTAGTCAGCCATTTTCCAGGTAAATACTGGATACCTGCTGAGATTTTAAATGTGAAAGAAAACCCAAGGGAGCTGAGTTTTTCTTTGATTCTCAGGGAGCTAACACTTTTTGTAAAAGCCACAGATTCAGAACAAAAAATAAATAAATAAATAAAGGAGGACTGAATATGTCCAAGGCTTCAAATGTTAGAAAGCAGTAATAACAAAGTTGATATAAAACTCTGTTACTAACCTTTGCTTTAAAAAGTGGCCAAGATGGAGACTGATTTCACATAAAAAATTAACTGTGAGAATTTCTACTTTAAAATATGTGCACTAAATATTATCCCTTATAGTCAGCTGAACCTTGTAACTTTGTCATTTAGAAAAAAAAAAAGATATTCAGAGGATAGAAATTAAAAAATGATTTTCTAATTGTATTAAGGACCCCCTTTCTGGAAAGCAAATAGTCTTTAATTAAGATGAAGCTTGATTGATATAAGTGTATCAAAATAATCATTTCTTGAAACTTATTTTTAGAAAATGATTGTGTACATATTACACAGCCAGGCAAAACAGCTAAATATCTAGACCAGATTATCCCAAATAAATTAATGACTGAAACTATAAATATAATTTCTAAGGTTTAGTCCTTACAATGTTCCCTGGAAACTATAAATATAATGTAGCAAACTACATTAAACTCGTGCTAAGACAATACAATTTAAGGGTTAAAAAACCAACTTTTCTACTTCAGACTTTTTTTGTTTTTAAAGAGAGATGATGACCTTCTCTATCTGAGATAAATAGGAAAGGCGAGCAGCAAGCCCAAGGCCTTTCTAAGGAAGGAAAAAATGCACATCTGCTCAGTGTGGACTTTTGAGTTGTGCCCATAAGTTATGCAGCTGCTGGAGTGAGAAGATTGGGGTGGGGGGAGACCTAGGGTTTGAATCTTTCCTTCTTTTAGTAAAAGGTAGAAAATGCAATAATAAGTAAAATAATGTTTTAAAGATGGTATAGAAATAGAATGGATAAAAAGAAAAAAAGAAATAGAATGGATTTCCCTGTTCATCCCTGGATAGATAGCGGAAAGCGGAAAGCCTGAGCACTTGTTAATAAAAGGCCTTGAAAAAATATAGACTGTGGACTCAGGTGCACTGAGACAGCAACCTCTGAGCTAACTACTGCATCCACTCAGAAAGATAAAAGATAGTGAATATGATATGCCGATTTCCATAAAAATAGTTCAATTTGTGTTAATTTTGTATCTTGTCATTATCAACTTAGTGTTCTTTTTCCTGAACACAAGCCCCAGGTTTCAATAGAATATTTCAAATAAAAAGCTCAATTATTTACTATTCCCCATGTAGATGGTTAATCTAAGCAGATTGGTGAGGAGGAGATGAGGACCATGTGTCAAACAGCAGATATTTAACAATAAGTTACAATCCATGGCCCCACCAGGTCCAGCTAGAAAGACTGATGTTGGTCAGCTCATCTGGATTTTAATAAAAGGCCACAGCCTGCACTTGGGGATATTATTAGATCCTATCTATGAATTATTTTTGAAATGCCTGGTGAGTCACCTCTGTGGTGATCATGCAGTTACACAGAATGCAGAATTGGGGTTGCATGATCATTTGATTCATACAAGAATATAGGATATTGGCACTAAACATGTCTATGGTTGTAAATTTCTAATTTCTGATTTTTGTTTCCTTAATGTGAAAATAAAAACCTTTGAAGATGGGCTAAGGATGTTTAAACATTATTTTGAAAAATATCTGGGACTATCACCATTAAATGTGAATATAAAATTTCAATTACAAAAGTCAGACTTAGTGTGCTAGAGTCTTTTATAATGTGACGCCAGAGGCACCCCGACAGTGGTGTCAAGGCCAAGGTTCCTCAAAACTGTTCCACTTGAACTGGGTAAAGTTTTATTGATCTGGCTGTATTCACTGGCATCTTAATTGATTATATATACACTGTTATAATACTGGGTGGTAAATACCTGTGTATATTCAAAGGCGTTTATAAGTGATAGTAGTTCCTGTTTAACATTAAAATGGCCTGAGGTTCTTTTCTGTGATAACAACACCTGTTTCTATTAGGAAAAAAAAAAAAAAAAAAAAAAAAAAAACCTCAAGGAGAATGAGCTGGATATTTTCCACGTGCCCTTTCATATCTCCACCCTTCTGCTCTCCAAGGCCGCCTCTGGGGACTGCACCACTGGATTCGCCTTCAGCTTCTCACTGGATTCAGCGCCAGAGAGGCACCGGAGGACAGGGTGCAAGGAGAACGCCATCTGTTCTCCTGATACCTCCTCAGGCTGGCTACCTTCAACCCCCTCCCTCAGGTCTCAGCTCTCATAATGTGGTCCACTCCTGCAGCTGTTCTCCACATCTGGCAACAGCTTCCTCCCTTTCCCGCTCCAGGCCCAGGTATGGTAATGGCTTTCAGCTGTTGCTGTCCCCCAGGCTGCCCCAACCCTGTTGTTCCCCTTATTATTGCTCAAACCTTTGTTAACAGTTCCTTCATCAAGCTCTCCCCAAACTACTCCTTTTTCAGAGTATTTCTCTTTTTTTTTGCTGGGGCCTCAACTGCCACAACATTTAGGCCAAACTTGAAAGATTTAAGATTATTTCTTTCACTGTCTACTAGTTTTATGAAATTCTATTTAAGGTACTAGGTGTCCTGTATTTTTGTATTCTGTGAAGCCAACGTTAGGGAACTTGAGCCAAGAATCAAAATTAGAGAAGAGAAAGGTTTCTGAAGTTTTAGGCCACACTATCCAATATAATCTTCAGAAATACAACATACAACATGGTGCAGTAAAGACAGCAAAAAACAAAACACAAAAACTCCCATTAAAACAAGGCTAAAAAAGGGTTAAATTTAAAAATCAACTTAACTTCGCCAACCTTAAAAAAAGAGTGTGTTTTTTTTTTCTATTTTAGTCTACAATAATTTAAGCACCTCTAGTGGTTATGGGGAACAAAGCAACGTGCACTCGAGAGAGACCAGATTCCATGCTCAGGACAGGAAAGCCAAAGACAAGTGTGAATCTCTCGTCAAACAACAAGGACAATTTCAGAAATGCACGCTGGTATTATAACAAAGCCACATACACCAACCCAGAGAAAGCTCTGTTAAAAACTCAACAGTGACAAGTTAAACATGAAACAATTACAAGCCATTCATTATAAAAGTTGAACCTAAAAGAGTTATACATACTATTCCTTCAAGAAACAATATAAACTATGCTTTAAAAAAGGAATATATACCAATAATAATCAATTAATTTGTGCTCAGCTTATCATCAAAAATGAGGTGAGAAGGAGTAAAAACTGACTTCTTGATTTTAAAAATAAAATCCTATTTTTTAATTGATATGCCTTCCCCTGGCACTGACTGGGTATTCCAAGCTCATGTCTCTTGTGGTCCTTGGGTCTGTCTCCCATTAGTCTTATGGGGACATGCCTGGGTGTTTAGAAAAAGCACCCAGATACAGGCAGGTATCTGCAGCCACACACAGACAGCAACAAGGGGAAGGTCAAGCAGAGCCTCGGCCCTGGGATCAGCAGGGCTTGATGGAGCCAAAGGGAGCAGTGTCACAGGTGACAGCCCTGAATATTCCCCGAGAACCTGGGTGCTGCCTGGCCCCTGCTCCTGTGGTCTGAGGCCCCAGCATTTCTCTGGCTCTGCCTCTCTCTCACGCCTGGGACACTGGAGTCCATGGAGCCCAGTCTGTACCCTGGGTGAGCCCTCTGTTGACTTATCGTTAGGAGCCCTCCCTGCCCCAAGGGCTCCTGCCCATCTTCCCTTTCTCATCCTGCTTCCTCGCAAATTCTCTGAAGGCCCTGCCTTGCCTGGCACCCCTTTGTCATTTCTCCCATTCAGAGCTGCCTATAGTCCTATCTCTGAGATTCAGGCTCCCCTAAAATTACTGACAACGACTGGAGGACACCGCTTCTTCTTGGTTCTGATTAGGGTTTGCCCCATGGAGGCTGCTAAGTCAGACACTATTCACTGTTCCTCCTCTGCTCGCCCCTTCCTGCTGTGGCCCGCTCTGCTCCCAGCATGCTGTGCGGTGCTCTCTGCTTTCAGCCGCAGTGGGAACTCATGCTGGTGTAAGTTATCAGAGACACCGCTATGTACAGAAAAGGCTTGATTATTCCTCTGGACCCTGTATTTATCTTAAAATTGTGTTCTTCACAACATGTTTTCTTCACTACGCCCTAGTGCAGTGATGGTGAACCTTTTGAGCTCGGCGTGTCAGCATTTTGAAAAACCCTAACTTAACTCTGGTGCTGTGTCACATATAGAAATTTTTTGATATTTGCAACCATAGTAACACAAAGACTTATATTTTTGATATTTATTTTATATATTTAAATGCCATTTAACAAAGAAAAATCAACCAGAAAAATGAGTTCGCGTGTCACCTCTGACACGGGTGTCATAGGTTCGCCATCACTGCCCTAGTGTGAGTTATTTTTTTTAATGCCAGTCAAGTACTAAAATAATTACCCCCATATCTCATAATACTATGAAGCATTTTTTTTCTTTTGTATTAAATAAAAGCCAATCCTGTGTATGCTATGAACAAGTTTTCAATCTGGAGTATTGAAGAAAATGAGGAAGCTTCAAAATTCTGGATTTTAAGATAGAAAATTCTTCTTAGGGTCATCTCTACCTTCACGTCGTCCACCTCTTCCTACATTGAGCGGGTATGAGATTTTTACAGACCTGCCCAGAGACACACCAAGACCAAGAAAGGTTCAGATGAGACCCACTTTAGGTTGGAGATCAGTTGTAGTGTTTGGAATTAGGCATTTTGTTAGATTGCTCATCTTAGGGGCCAGTCTAAATCATAGCATGACAAAGCATTGGCTGTATAAATCATCCACAAACAACCTTGGAATAATAGCCAAGTCAACCCATTACATAATGTCATGTGAAATTGGAAAGATTGGGTAATTTTCTTTCAAAAGAATGTTTAATTTATGCCAAATGTTTTTTTGTTGTTGTTTTTTAAAAAATATATTTTATTGATTTTTTACAGAGAGGAAGGGAGAGAAATAGAGTTAGAAACATTGATGAGAGAGAAACATTGATCAGCTGCCTCCTGCACATCTCCTACTGGGGATGTGCCCGCAACCCAGGTACATGCCCTTGACCGGAATCGAACCTGGGACCTTTCAGTCCGCAGGCCGACGCTCTATCCACTGAGCCAAACCAGTTTCGGCCAAATGTTTTTTTTTAATATATATTTTTATTGATTTCAGAGAGGAAGTGAGAAGGAGAGAGAGAAACATCAATGATGAGAGAGAATCACTGATTGGCTGCCTCCTGAACACCCTCTGCTGGGGGATGGAATCCACAACCTGGGCATGTGCCCTTGACCGGAATCCAAACCGGGACCCTTCAGTCCCCAGGCCGATGCTCTATCAACTGAGCCAAACCGGCTAGGGCTGCCAAGGGCTACTGATTTTTCAAGTAGATTATGTAAGTGGAACGCATATGGTTCTTTTTTCCTTGGTTCTTAATATTAGTCCTTTACATTTATTGTTTCTTTTAAAAAACTAAAAAACTACATTGCAAGCAAAATAAACTATAATTTACAGACTATTTTAGAAATATCTATATAATTTTAAAAAACAAAAACAAAAGAGAAGTCTGAGCCTTTATAGTAGCATCTGGCAAAGATTCTAGGGAGGAATTAGGGTTTTTTCACATCAGATTCAATCTTCTAGCCTGCAGCACACCCACCCTTTCTCAACCGAAACAGGAGGGGAAGTGACATTTTATTTCTTTGTATCACAAGTCCTACCTAATAGCAAAAGGTGCTATTATTAAATAGTTATTACTGGGCAGAAAGCCATACTGAGTGCAAAAAAGAACTTGAGTCTCATCAACTATAAACATCAGGGTATCCATCAATGTGAAGAGCCCATAGGGAATTCTTAAACATCTAAGATCCATGAAATTCTCTTTAGACGTTAAAGGTCATTATTCAATACTTATCCTCCCTACTATGAAGATGGCAAATTAAGTAATAGTAGTAATTTAAACAAAATTTTTAAACGAAATGTTAAAACATTTGACAATTTCTCTTGTTGATTACAATAATAATTTACAATAACACATAAGAAGGGCCTGAAATAATACCAGCAACTTTCCTTCTCCACAGAGGATCCGAGACAACAAAACCAATAGGCCTGGAATTGCCGAACACACCTGAGCGAATGTGGGCAGGTGAAGACAGTAAGAGAAGGTACACCAAGTGTCAGAGTGACGCGCAGACTCTGGTTAGAATGGAGGATTATTGTCACACCCACAAATATTCCCTCCTGACCCCAGAAGCCCGCCCTCCCTCCTACCTGTCCAGTCAGCACACCCATCCCTTTCGGGACATCTGCAGGCTATCCCGACATCCTCTCTGGGCAAGGGAAGCCTAGCCCAACCCAATCTCATCTCTGTTCAAGTCATTCCATAAGTAACTTTGGCAAAGAGTAACCCACCCTTTGCCACATATTGAGGGCTCTGGGCAACTTTCCCCAAATTAACCTCGTGCGCAGGTTAAGATTGTGCATACACGTAAAAGACTAGCTTAAGTAGCATCTTTGAGGGCAAAGAAAATGCACCATGGTTTACATGAGTTTCTCATCGTCAGGTATGACAAATGCAAACAGACCTGGCGACACCATACCTTTCTTCCATGGAAACCTCTTTCATCTGCTGGTGTGGTTTGGTGCCCTCCATTTCCCTGATGCTCACGGCATAGATCTTGGTGGTGTAATCAATGGCCTTTTCTCTGGCAACATCACTGTCATAGCCTCAAAGGACAGAAAGGTGGAGAATGGAGTTGGATTGCCATGGCTCAGGAGGGGGTGGGGAGGGAGGTGCGGGTGGCACGTGGCTGCTGGGACTCACCTCCATCCTCTTCTGCGTCGGTGTCCGACTCCTCGCTGTCCACCAGCTTGCTCTCCTGTGTCCCCACAAACTCCCTGGTCCAGATCATCAGGGCCGTGTCGGCGCCCCCTACCGTGAGCAGCACGGAATCGTTGTGCAGCCATCTCACGTTGGTGACGTGGGCGCTGTGCCCCACATACTTCTTGAATCTCGCGTGCTGGCCCTGTGAAGCCAGAAACTGGCCATTACCGCATCGGGAGCCCCACTGCTCCTGACTCTGGATTATCTCATCCACGTTATTCTCTAGAGTGGCTTGTACTGGATACGAATGAAACATTTAAGCAGCAATTTCCTTACATTCCTCTAGACTGTAAGCTCTATGAAGGCAGGGAACCGGTCTCCTTTCCCCCTAAAACGTTACCTGGCTCACCACAGGTCCCCTTTAAATAATTTGTAAGGGAACAAGTAAAATGTTGGACTACAGAAGCTATTTCTGGGAGCGTAAGGAAGTATAAGAAGCTTGTTTTTGTTTCTCTCAAATATCAAATGTGGATTCTCCCCAGGTCTCTGGCATAAACTCCTGATTGTGAGTCTGGCTGACATTTGAGATCAGAGGTGGCCTCCCCGTCACTCCCCACAGTGGCTTTTGTACCACAGCCCAGACTGTGGCTGACCAGCAAGGGACTTCTAATCCTGAGGCCTCAAGGAAGATTTGAAACACACACACCAGTTTCTGCCACGGACCCTGGAAACAATTTCTAACACTGCAAGCACTCGACTAATTGATTTAAAAACAAAGTAAGCTGCTTTTCAACAAACACATTCGAGTAAAGAGAACCCAGGTTATTAGTAATTTCCGAGAGCTCGCTCAGGCCCCGCCGGGCTTATCCCAGGAGGGAAAGGACAAGTGAATGTGAGAGGTGGCCCGCCTGCTCACCCGGGGCAGCCCTGACAAGTGGTGGGGATTTGCAGCTGACATCAGACGCCGGCTTCCATTTCTGGCTCAGGAGCCAGAGTCTGGCTGGCAAAAACAGCTCTGGCGGGAGCCATTTAAAAAGGCAGAGTTTTTCCATCCTCTTGGCGACTCCTGGGGAATACCTCCCAGTGTGGAAAGCTGCATGTGCTTTCTGAAGTCCTGGGAGGGCCACCGGTGTCCCAGATGAACGCTTTATTCAATAACTGATAAGAGGCTTCCAGAGGGTTTTGGACCAGCGCCCTGGGGAACCTGAAACCGCCACAAGCAGGCGGCAGGAGACAGGTGCAGGGGAGTGGGTGACTTTAAAATACTCTTGGTCGGATCTCTGTGGATCTGGCCGACCCTACCTGCCAGCAGAGTGGATCCGCCCACTGCTCAGCCCAGTGCTCAGGCAGGGGTGGGCAAACTTTTTGACTCGAGGGCCACAATGGGTTCTTAAACTGGACCGGAGGGCCGGAACAAAATCATGGATGGAGTGTTTGTGTGAACTAATATAAATTCAAAGTAAACATCATTACATAAAAGGGTACGGTCTTTTTTTTTTTTTTTTTGTTTTATTCATTTCAAACGGGCCAGATCCGGCCCGCGGGCCGTAGTTTGCCCACGGCTGGTCTAGAGGATGAGGGAAGCAAGCAGGTGGGCAGCGTTTCCAGGAAGCCCTCCAGAGCCACTAGCTTGCGAAGCGAATAGGAAGAGCCAAATAAGGCTTTCCACTGGGAACCACTGTGTGACCAGATGAGACCCAGAGGCACAGACGCGAAAAGGACAGTCACGGTGGCTGCTGCTGTGGGTCCTGCCAGCCTTCCTGTTGGAAGCAAGACCCACGCCATTATGCAAGCTGGGTTCTTGAGAGAAGGAGAAAGAGAACCTGAGAAATGCCTCTCCATGCTCTCACTTACATGAGGAACACAGGGTTTTTGGATGGGGGTGGAAAAAAGAATCCAAAAAGAAAGGTTGCGGGGGTGGGGGAGGAATATCAGGGACCAATATACGAATATCAGGTTGGGGGGGGGGGTGATCAATTAGAATCTTTGCAGAGGCAAAGAAAGTGGACCAAAGGGGTAAGAAAAAGGGAACGTTTCTGAGTCAATTCCAGCAAAGGGTGATTCAAGATTCTCACAATAGGAAGCAAGATTACTGCTCCATGGAACAATGAACAGGAATTCACAGTTATCAGAAGGTTCGGGAAACCAGCAGTTCCCTAAGAGGAAGAGGCGAGGCGGGCAGGGATGATCGGTGGTCCTCTTAGGGCCTATGGGAGGAGCCTCTGGAGAGCTGGCACAGCCAGTCAGACCCACTGTCCTTCTGGGTCATCGTGCCAAATCCTGCATTTCTGTTACAGCCATCAGGACTCGCTACCACGACACGCCCCTTCCACCAAATACTGAAAGAATGGAGACTCTGCCCTGGCCAGTGTGGCCCAGTTGGTTGAGCATCGTCCTGTGCACCAAAAGGTCACCAGTTTGATTCCTGATGAGGGCACATGGCCAAGTTGCGGGCTGGAGTGTGTACAGGAGGCAACAGCTCAATGTTTCTTCCTCACATTGATGTTTCTCTCCCTTCCTAAGAAAATCAATAAAAACATATTTACAAAAAAATATGGATAATCTGAAATATGTCCCCAGAGTGGTTAACTGTTTTTAGGTGAGTAATTTCTGAGAATATGATAATTATGTACCCTTTTCCCACATTCACAACATTTCATACAGTTTCTCTGTACGAAAAACTTTCCTCTTTGAAGAACCATTCTTTCTCTCTTTAAAAATTCTCTTGAGCCTTTGACATTCTGAGAAAGAAATTGAAGAACCTGAGGATGGGTTTGAAATGAAAATGACATGGTGAGATATATTTTTTATCCTTAAGTTTCCTTTGTTACACTTTTCTAATGGAGGATATGAAGTCGCTAAATTACTGGTGATTTTACAGTTTTGTGTGAGAGAAAAGAAATATACAAATGAAGAAATTCAACAAAGGGTCATCAACATACAAGTTCTTGATACTAAACACTAAATTACAGCTAATTTCTAGATGAGTAGGTGGCATCTTTAGGAATGACAAAGTCCACAGAGGTTTTAAAAAAAGGTGAGAATTTTAAAAAATGACATAACAACAACTATATTAAAAAGTAAAAGTTTGGGATACTTCCCATATGGTAAGCATTATTCTAAATACTTATAAGTATTAATTTGTATAATGGCATAGTATCCAATTAGAGAAAGATTTGTTCCCACCTTACAGAGGACCAACTCTGTCACAGAGATTTTAAGAAACTCCGCTTAAGTCAAACAGTTAATAAGTATCAGAGTCAACACCTGAACCAGGTAGTTTAGCTTTAGAATGGAGGACATGGTGATATTTTATCCTCTCCAATCTGGTGGAAGGGCATAGCTTTGAAAAAGAAGGGCGGATAAGGGAAGCAATCAGCTAGCTATATAGATGGTGTCGAAGGACAGCATTGCACGTGGTTTAACTGGAAAAACGGGTGGGCCCTGGCAAAGGAGAGTCTATCTCATGGAGGTTGGAACCCATGTGATTGTCAGGGAACTAATTCATCACAAAGATTTTAAACATAAAACTGAATATATAAGTACCCATGATTGTCATGGAAGAAAAATGCTTGAAAGACATGCCTAGTAACTCAGGGGAAGGGAGAACAAGGGAAAGGGCCAAGAAGAAGACATAACTTTAGAGTCTAACAAATGGAACTTGATTTTTGGACACAGAGAGATATGTGTGGTGATTAGATCTCATAGGTATCACCAACACCTGATGACATGGAGCTCAGTGCTAGAATACTGCAATGGGATGCTGTCTTCGTCCGGTTGGGCTTCCATAACAAAATATGACATGCTGGCTTAAACAACAAATTTATTTCTCACAGTTCTGGAGGCTGGGGCATCTAAGGTCAAGGAGCCAGCTACTTTGGTTTCTGGTGAGAGCCTTCTTCCTGGCTTAGGGATACCACCTTCTCACTGTGAGCTCCATGGCCTTTCCTGGGTGCATTGATGCGTGGAGAGAGAGAATGTACTCTTTGGTGTCTCTTATGAGGGCACTAATCCCATTGGATCCGGGCCCCACACTTATGACTTTATTTAGCCTTAACTGTTCTCAGAAATGCCCTATTCTCAAATATAGTCACGTTGGGGATAGGGCTTCAACATTTGGATTTTGATGGAGACACATTCAGTCCATAACAGATGGTGAACTTTGTCTAACCTACCCAGAGCAGTGGGGGAGTGTAACTAGACAGCTGGAAACATTCATCAGGTAGGGTCCATGTATTTGGAAGGAAAAGTGTGCCAGAAAATCATATTTTTTTAAAAAAAAAAGAGGAGGAAGAGAAGTGATACTATCAAGAAGTTTTATTTAATATTAGCCAATGATTTTCAAATGCTTTCAAATTATGAAACTGTTTCTTCAACCAAATCTTACAAAGTAGGACTGAGGAATAAAAAGATAAGTAACCCAATTTAAAACAAAGGATAAAAGAGGTGTACTTCACAAATGGCCAATAAGCAAATGAAAGGCCCTCAGCATCATTAGTCATCAGGGAAATGCAAATTACAAACACAAAGCCCTCATATTACCTACACCCAGGACAGCTAAATTTTACAAGTCTGACAACACTGATGTTGGCAGCTAGAACTTGCTTTTATTTCTGGTGGGAATGGAAAATGGAAAAAGGTCTGGCAGTTACTTAAAAAGTTAAATACACATTTTCTCCTATGACCCAGAAATTCTACTCCTACATATTTACTTAAGAGAAAGAAAACATATGCCCACAAAGACTTGTCCATAAACGTTCACAGCAGGTTTATTATAACCAAACAGTGGAAAGACCAGGTGTCCATCGATAGCCATGTGGATAAACAAACTGCTGTATCCATACAATGGCATTCCACTCAGCTATAAAGATATAACAGACTGTTCTTACCCACCAACAACATGCAGAAATCTCAGAAACAGCATCTGAGTGAAAGAAGCCAGACACAAAACAGCACCTACTTGACTATTCCATTTATATGAAGTTCTGGAACAGGTACAACTAATCTATGATGAAAAACACTGGAATATTTTTTTTTTCATCTGAGGGTAAAGTGGGGGTAGAGATTGGCCTGGAAGGAACATGAAGAAACTTACTGGGGTGATGATAATGTCTATCTTGATAGGTGTTTGGATTACGTAGGTGTGTTTGTCACAGTTCATCAAAAGGAACCCTAATGCTTGTGCATTACAACTGTATATAAATTTTACCTAAAATATACCACGAATAAATGTTGAACTCTAGGTAATGATATGCACAGGAACTCATTAGGGGTAAGTATCCTGATGTCCATAATCTACATTGAATTGTAGACTCTTGGTCAGGGGTCCTCAAACTGCGGCCTGCGGGCCACATGCGGCCCACCGAAAACATTTATCCGGCCCGCCGGGTGTTTTTGCTGCCGCTGCCTGTCCTGCTTAGCAGCCGACTCGTCCCAGGCCCGCAGTGCGCATCTGTGGAATGTCTGAGGGACAGTGAGCTGGCCCCCTGTTTAAAAAGTTTGAGGACCTCTGCTCTAGGTGGTGGGGTCCTAGAAGTTCACTGTATCATTCCTTTACCTTAAGTGTATGTTTGCAATTTTTTCTTTTTTAATATATTTTATTGATTTTTTTACAGAGAGGAAGAGAGAGGGATAGAAAGTTAGAAACATCCATCAGCTGCCTCCTGCAGACCCCTACTGGGGATGTGCCCGCAACCAAGGTACATGCCCTTGACAGGAATCGAACCTGAGACCCTTCAGTCCGCAGGCTGACGCTGTATCCACTGAGCCAAACCGGTTAGGGCTGAAATTTTTTCTAACAAACTGTTGTAAAAAATCTTACACAGAGAATCAACATATAAAATATAAAACACAATGACTAGTTGAAGCAGAGGTGGGGCCCCAGGCCCCTCCCACTGCCCCCTACTCTGTTTCCTGGGGTGGTCCCGGAGGAACCTTCCTGGAACACAGGGTGACATTACTATAGACAGTACACCTGGTCAGGCCGGGGATGGAGGTGATGAATTCCAGGACCAATAATAAACCTAGCCCTGGAGCATGATGCGATAGCATTCTGGGGATTTCAGCTATCTAAGTATAGGCCCAAACCTCAGTCTACTAATACCAGGACATCCCTAACTTGTCCGGCTAGCAGTCTCATTTCAAGTAATGTAAAAGTAGCAAGGAAAATTGCTACATAAAAGGGAATTCTGATCAAATAGGAAGAGCTGGTAACTGACAGTGAAGTGATGATCACTGGGAGTGAATCTCAGAAAAGACCACCAAAAATTATTTCCTAACCAGATATTAACAAATGAAAGAGGAGAGGGGAAGGCATCTAAAGATACCCAAAGGGCTGTGGAGGGAACTGGTATGTTCAGGTAAATGTACAAATGAGAAGAGGAGTAAAAACCAAGAATGAATACAAAAGTCTTGCACTGACAACTTTGATATAGTTTTAGAATATTAAAGCAAAAAGCTAAGAAAACAGAAAAGGATTTTCTATAATAGGGCTAAAAGAAAAATACAGAATGCTAGGAATCCTTCTTAGATCAGATGGTTTAATATGAACAGAAAACAGACTTACTGCCTCTATTAAAGAGAATGCTCTTCCAACCAGGAAGGACAAAACAGAGCTCATGTACCTGAGTACAGGTACCTTGCAATGTGACCACAGAAACAAAATCAGGAATGCCCAAGGAGTTTAGAAACCAGGAGAGGCGACATCGAACACAAAAAGGCTCCTGTATCTAAATGGGAAAACAAGTGGACTCTGGCAAATATTGATTTATGAGTTGATGCAAACTCTGGAAAATTCTAGGGTGAATTATTACACAGAAGGTCTTATAAGCACTTGGAAAAGGAAGTAATGATTACTGGGCAGCAACAGGGCTTCACTGTGAATTAACCCCACATTTTCCATTGGTTGGTTTGTTGGGAGGGGAGATTAGGGACACCAGAGATACACTCAATCTGGCTTTTAGCAAGATATATGCCAAGTCTGTAGTGATGTCTTGTTGCACTAGCGAGGGAAAGGTGAGGTCCAATAGAGCATAATCAGAGAGAGGTAAACGTCTGCTTCTGACTAAAGAACTGAAATTAAATGTGCGCACTAACAACAGAATGTCAGATTGAATGGGGGCTCCTGGTGGAGGCAGTTGGGTGTTCTAGTTTATATTTTTTCTATCCATGACTTAAAGCTCACACTGGTGAAATCAGAGGATGACATGATGCTGGAAGGGAAAGTAAATACTCTGATGAAGTATTTAAAAGATGTTGACAGGCTGGAACAAGGAGATAAAATAAACAAGGTAAGTCTTATTTGGTACAAATATGAAGTTCTGTCCTCAGTATTTAGAGAGTCAGTTCTGTAAGATGGGGGTTATAACCTGAACATTTTGGGCAATGACATCTATGATTCGATTGTATAGTGTGGCAACCAAGAGCTGATGCCATTTTAATTTAATTTAAAACAAATATAAAATCAAGACAAGAAGATGAAAGTCCTACTGTACCCTGAGCTGCTCAGATGACATCTGAAGCACTGAGTTCAGTCTTAGATGAGACAGTCTGAAATGGAATAAAATGGAG